GCGCGCACTCGAAAGTCATTATTTCTTCTGTCTTTTTGCTAACCATAAGGCAAATTTTGTTGGCGGAACACTTAGGTACACAGATCCGCAGAAATACGAGTGCAACAGTACAATGTTGACCACTAGTTGAGAGTTTTGAAAACTCACCAGTGACCCGGCATGGCAAGTCGCCCAGTCTACTATTGCTGCCAGATCGCTGTCCCTCCAGAGAATGTTTGACGTCCATAAATCACCGTGTACCATAGTTCGAAGAACTTCTTAAGTGAAAAATTTTAGAAGCACTTGAAACCAGCCAGCAAGACGTTCAGGGATGAAATGGCAGAAGCGTTTACCCTCTTAGGATAAACTTGGTATTCTAGTTATTCCATTCGGGCCGTTATCTAGATTTTTGAGGGCACATAACGCCATGAAATGGCTTCTGGTAACAAATAATTCTCAAGTTAATCCCTCTTCTCTTAAGGTGTTTAGTGGCTAGTACTCCGGAGAAAGAGGATGTAGGGCATGATATTCCTCTACGAGATTCGATCCTCAGAAACGAGCTAGCTCAGCACAGGACTCCATTTACTCATTCTCCACTTTTTGAAACACCAGCTTCAGTCATGAAACATTCGAAGCCTACCTTTATTCTTATAGTGTCGGAATTGTTCCAGGCACCACAACTGATTGCTTGTGTAGTTTTCGTGGAGGAGCTGGAGACCTTCATCGAGCAACGGATACGCCTTCCTCAGATGCTGATTCATCGAGTCGCACATCTTCACATATTGCTGGTAGCTTTCCGAATCCTCCTAGATTTTGTAGTTTTCAAATTTGATCAAGAACTGAATGTTCCATGGAATCGCTACGTACCGCGGCGTTATTTCGCGTGTGGCCAAGTCTTTTCACACTCGCCGCCTGCGCGACGAATAAAACTATATTTGTATCATGTGCATTTATCATTTGAACAGCTTACATATATATATTATAAAGTCACAATATTGACAAGAGTACCTATGAGGTGGTAAGGGGATCAAAAGTGTGGCAGGAATTGAAAATGTATTTTGGGGACGATAAGCAAGAAAAAGTTACAAAAATGATTCAAATGAAGCCACTTCCATTGTTGGAGCCTACGGATTCATCACGAGGGCGGTATTTTTTTCTACTAGAACCTAGAAAAAAATAAAAATGCTTGCGACTGATGTTTCCCGAAAAAAGATTTGATAATTTAGGACTTTCTTCATATGGCGCAGTCACACGTCTCTATGCTGTTTCACCTTATTCGGCTTATTCGGTACCACATACATACATATAGAATGCGAGCAAATGAAAACAACCATCGCAATCCTTCAAAAAGTTGTGCTGCCCTTGTGCGGTGGCAGGAAATGGGTGAACATATGGACAAAGCAATACAGAAGTATCAAAAACGTTTTTGCGAAAAACGAAAAACCATCGCCAAAACGAAACTCCCAAGTTCTTTACCGCTGCACTAAATAATGCGAAGATTTCACCGGAGAATTCATCAAGTGAAAAAGAAGAAAAACTTCGTCTTCCGAGATTCCTTCAGCAGGTTTAAGGTAACTAGGGGTGCAGTTACGTTATTACTCCGCGGCCGCGAATCTCAGGGGCGAGAGTTCCGAATACTTTTAATACACTAATTTACAAAGCGTATAATTTTCTTCATTCCTGCTGACTCTTGTAGCTTACAGAGGTTTTGAAGGTTTATTTTTTTGTTCTTGGACATCTTCCAATCAAGCATACTTCTCACACAAAC